ACTGAAAACGTCTTGATTACAATTCCAATACTCCTCTATACGTGTTTTCACTACAATTCCGGTCGCTTGAATCATGGCGAAATATACGTACAATTCATCCACAGTAGTATCGTGCCATTTTGTGACTATTGCGACTATTGGGGTGCAAAGTCCCTTTTTGCATCATAATCACCGCTAACTGTTGAGCGTAGCGGTTCGTCTCCACAACGATTTTCTTCATAATTTCCTAGTCCCAAATTTCAACGAATGCTTAATATGGACTGGTATATTGAGTAGTGGGTCCACAATTAACTGCACAAAACGTTTCTCTCCTCCGCTCTGGTTCAATTTGAGGCTGCGGGAACGCTCTCCACTGAAAATCAATCTTGTTGCAGGTCACAAGCAGCTCCTCATGTGTTTGTATTACAAAGGCCGGTACTTGGCCCGCTGGCTGCTCCACATGCGGTGGTAGTACAGGGGCAGGTGCTAGGCCTGCTGGTTGCTCCACAGGCGGTACAATTGAAGGGGCAGGTGCTGAGCCTGCTGGCTGTTCCACATGCGGTGGTCTTATTGGGATGGGTGCTGCAGGTGAAGGAGGCCATGCAAAATTGAGCTCCGCCGATGCATTTCCCGCTTGTTCATTGTCCTCGAGAAACATTCTAGATGACCTCGGGAAAAGCAGAGGGGGAGAGCTCTCTTCCTGGCCATCCTCTTCATCGCTTTCTTCTTCTTCACTTCCTATTAAAAAAATAAGAAAATGAACGATAGAAAGTTAAGTTGGCAAGCTGTTTGGGTAGATGTAAATGAAATAAATTAACGAACCATACTGAAGGTACTCCGAAATTTCATCATCCCGTAGAAGTCGGCTATAAATTCTGTAACATAATTATTAATATTAATAAAAAGAGTACATAACAACAATATTTTTGCGTAAATTTAATATTTCATTAAATATACTTACAAAGAACGTTTGCAACCCCTGCTCACTCCTGGGGCCCTTGGCGTGGATGTCTCACTTCCGTGGAAGCTCCTTCCTACTGTCCGGGGCGTGGATGTCCCGCTTCCACCACATTCTACGTACCTAAAAAAATAATACATATATACCATAATACCACAGATAAATCCCACAACATAAAAACTTATTATACTTACATCGCCGGTGAAGGGGCCTCCAAGTACTTTGATGCAGCAGGTGTTGGTGACTTGACCACAGGGACCACCAGAGACCACGGGTGAGACCATTTCAAACGGCGCTGGAGATGGTGCCGTTGATGTGGCAGGCACCGTATCAGAACCCTGTCTGAATTATCAATTTCGATAAGAAAAAGGAACAAAGATTAGAAATCTTTAAAACATATTAATAATAATAAGGGCTTACATTTCTGGCAACGATGGCCCAGCATCATTCACCTCAACAGAATTAGGATGTCCATGGCTTAACTCCAACGTCTCAAACATTAATATACATTTAATCAATTCCAAATGAACTAACAATTATTTAAAAATACAATTATCTATCGTCCATTTAAGAAACATAACAATAAAAATACATACACTGATGTTTGGGGCAAAAAGCGCTTTCTTTTATTGTGTAAAGGACAGTCCAACCCATACCCTTGCGGTACATCTTCTATCATCGCGCTAAATAGCCTAAAATAGTAATAATTACCTATAATTAGTATAGTCAAAAAATGTAGGTAATAAATGATTTGATTAGTATAGAAGATCTTAGAACGTAAGTAAAAAAGCGATAATTACGGTCCTGAGACGGAAGGTCTTGACATGCCCTTTCCAACTCCAGTAGCAACTCCACGTGTGCGTACGACACCACGTGTGCGTACACCACCACGTGTGCGTACGCTACCACGTGTGCATACGCCACCACGTGTGCGTACGCCACCACGTGTGCGTACGCCACCACGTGTGCGAACTCCACCGCATGTGTGTGCACTACTTCAAGAAGGAGTGCCATCGCGTTTATGAACCATGCCACTGACAGTCCCCTGACTGTATCAACGACAATACCAACATGCAAAAGAAAAACAAAATAAGCCAAGCAAACAAAAGAACATTTTTTTAAATAAAAAGCACTTAATATAGGTGGAATTCCGATCTCGGCGAGCAACTAATGCAGTTTATAACAGAAAGGCCAGCATACAAACCCATACAGAGCGATGCCGCGAGAGAACAGTAGCTGCCAAGATCAGAATGCCATCTTTAGGTCTAAAAAAAAGAATAAATGTCTGCAATTTATTTCAGAAAATATAAGACGCAAAAATACATTATTTTCAAAATCCTAACGCCCCCTGAATGTTCCAGTCCCGTTCAAAAAAGTAGACCAAAGTACCAGAGATGTTAATAATTTTACATGTATTTAAAATGCAAATACAAATTGCCTATTTTTATTTTGCATTTCAAATTAGTCTTTGTAATATTCAAAATGGTCAAACTGCTTCTGTTTTTCTAAATTTCAAACAAAATAATTAATGACTGATCTATAAAAAAATAGTCATAAGAAATTCTATTTAAAATAGCTACTTTAAAAATACGTATTTTGAATTTTGTATTTAAATACTTTAATTCAAATGTATTATGTATTTTTACTTCAAATTAAAATATTAACCAATAATTTGCATTTTGAATTTTTAAATTATACTAAAAAATTATTTTTCCCATCTCTGCTAATTGCATATCCATATTCTCCATCGTTACCAAAACAAATGTCAAACCTAGTCTGTGGATATGGCAGATTTCAGCCACGAAACGATCGGTTCATACTTTTATAGCGATTTCTCATTTTTTTTCCACCAAAATAACTGTGTGCTCTTATATTTAGTTCAAATATTAGTTTCACCACATATTGAACACAATATAGTGACACTGGAAGCAATTTAGTCACTAAGAAAGTAAAAACGTGTAACATACGGCGGTCATTCCGAAGGCAGAGTCAAATTCAATTACAAAACCTTCATTGAAAATTGCCAACAAGCCTCGAAAAGTAGATAAATATTCATAATTAAAATAAAAAAAATTAAAAAAAATTAAAGACAACTTACCAATCCATTGTATTTTCCATGATATAACTTGTAATTCACAATTTTAAAAGCATAATTATCACAGCCATTGAGATAATGTTACTATATGTAACTATAGTAACATATTATCTCAATGATCACAGCAATGTTCGATCTCAAAGCGCAAAATCACTAGATCTTCAATGACAAGATTCTTTTTTTTTCTTCTTTAGACATTGCTAGTATTAACGTATATCATAGAATCAAGTTCATAGTAAACACACTCACGGTCTTATTGCACTGGGAAAGATAAAGAAACATACGACTTTTGCCGCGAAATACGACTGTGTAGTAATGGCAAAATTCAGCCAGTCCTTCCTGTATATACTTATTATACTCTTTGGCCAGTCCACAGACGCGGCTTTTTTTTTTGCTGATTTCTGCCACCTCACAGACGAGACTCGAAGTTGGACGAGGCGAATAGTGTAGAGAGGTACTTCGATTCGCTTCGTGAAACCTCGGGCGACTTCCGATCGCTGTCGTTTTTGCGCCAATCAAAGGACTCCGCGAAGTACCCCGAAGTTACACGAAGCGTCTCACTACACTACTCGGCTTACGCCAGCTATGAATTTTTTTATATATAAATATTAAATATGTAGCTTTCTACATAATTATTTTCTTTAGTTAACGCATTAACGTCATACTGTTCACATAATTAGGCACCTATAGCAACTGCCTCTTGAAGGTTATTCATGTTAAGGGTGCGGGGGACTGAAGACGACTGAGCTCTTTGCGAAGTAGCACGAGTGTGTAGTCACGTTCTTCGGACTGCGATCGACTTCGACGAGGCGTATATGGAACCTATACCTTCACGCAACGCTTATGACGTCAGAGACCGTTTTGCCGTCGGGTATATTTTTAAATCCAGAAAGCGAAAATCTTTTCATTAGAGCGTACCTTTACCTAACATTTGTGACGTCACTGGTGCGTGTTGAAATCGGGTAAACATTTAGGCTTAGGTCACGCCCGCGCAGTTATTTTAAAACATACCTGACCGCAACAAAGCAATCGCTGGATACTCTTTTATCACGTTACTATTTCAATCGTTCTTTCCTTTTCGCCCGCTGGCTGACGCAGTATTTCGTTTGTTGCATCATATTTTACCACGTGCGAGTTAGTACTGTTAAACTCTGTGATTTCCAGTGTTTTTAATTTAAAAAAAATAGGAAATATAGTGCATAGCAAAGTGTGAAGTATATTATCGAGTGATAACTATATAGTTTGTGATTCTCTTAGTGTAAAATGTGTGTAAAATGATAGATAAAGCCGGTTTAGAGTGCTTTATAACTGAACATTGTGGACTTATTGAGAAATTAGATTTTGAATCGTGTGAAAAGTACTTCATGCAATTTAGACTGAAAGCTGAAATGAAGAGCAAGAACGATATGCTAAGTTTATCGACGAGTTTGTTAATTTTTTTTCTAATTATACGAAAACGAACTGGATAGTTCGAAAGTCATATCTTTCGTTGAAGCGCTTCTTGTTTCGAAAAACTTATACATGTCAACATTCATCGTTCAATTAAAAATCTGATAAGTCGTCTCGTGGACAAAACTGTAAGGCTAAAATAGACTTTGTTATCAAAAAAGTCAACAAGGACACTATTCGAAACGATAAACTGTTGTTGAAAGGATATAATGTGTTAGTGACCATAGTTTTTGAACACTCTCATCGCGTTTATGTTGCCGAAGCTTTTAATTTACTAAAATGCAACCAGGAAACCGAAGAAAGATTTAAAAAATATTTCAACAGTGGGATGACACCTTGTGCAGCAATAAATTACAATGAATTGAACATACTGGACTCGTTTCAAGATACTGCTGTAAATGAAATAGAGATGCTGTCGAATTCTCAAATAAATCCTTATGAAAATCATGTGTACTACATGTATAATAAATGGCGTGCTGAAAGTATGGTGACCGTTATGAATGCAATCTCCCCGAAATCATGCAAGGGAAAATTGAGAGTTTAAATGAGAAAGGCTACACGATACTGTTGAAACAAAATCCCAGGATTATTATCATAATTACGCCTATAATGAAACGGGTCTTTCTATCTACTACATATGAGAATATGATGTTTGTAGACACAACATTATCGTGTGACCAGACCAGTTCTGCAATTACTCTAGTTTTTACATCTCACAAAATTGGCGGTCTTCTATTGGCTTGCGCTATACATACCGAGCAAAATGAATCCAATTACACACTGGTTTTTGCCACCATTAAAGAAGCTATAGAAAAGAACGAGACGAGTAAAAAATTTGAGCCTGATATTGTTATAACAGATGATTCTACTGCAGAACGAAATGATTTGAGAACCATTTTTCCAAATGCTCGATTAATATTGTACGCATTTCATGTATGTCAAGCCATTTGGCGTTGGCTTTGCGTTACAGATCACAAGGTTGACATAATGAAAAGACAGTCAATCATGATGAGATTTAGAAATATTATTTTTGTAACTGATCCAGAAGAAGCAGTAAAATTGTATGAGGGATTGACAATGGACGAGTATATTAGGACGATGCCAGCTCTGTTAAATCATCTCAGTAACTTATGGGAACGGCGACTAGAATGGTGTATCTCTGGTAGGGTGGATTTACTTACGCGAGGAAACAATACTAACAACATAACAGAAGCATCTATACACATTCTTAAAGACGTGATACTCCAGCGCTGTAAAGCATTTAATGCTTGCGCATTGGTAGATTTCGTCACCTCCATTTTTGAGAACTATTTTCAGCGCCGCATCGTTTATTAAGCTAACACGCGAAAAACCAAGGATTCCATATATGCAATGTTCATGAAAACTGCTCGAAATATTAAAAATATTTCTAAAGTCAACGATAATGAGTACAGTGTAGAATCAGAGAAAAATTCAAATACTTTTACACTGTTAGAGCCGATTTAGCTGTTTGCGACTGTGGAAGATTTTGCAAGCACCTATGTAGCATTGAGCAAAAATTTGGGGTTATATTTCCGAATTCTCCTCGGCTGTCTATTCATGATAGAATATTACTAGCAAGAATTGCGATGGGGGATGAGATAAATGAAAATGTTTATATGAATATGGAGCTGAGATTGGATCAAACACCAAACAATGATTTGGACTCGATAGTACCACAGTGCTCTTCCTCCAACACACAAGAGCTGACACAGGATGCGGACAATTCTTCGTCATACTCAATACACGTTGCTGTAGAATTTCCGCACCAGTATAATAATGCATTTTTTGAATTTAAGTCTGAAGTAAAACGCTTCACAGAACCCCACTGTCCACAATGTAAGAGCACTAGCGAAATTCACAAAAATGATTAAAAAAATAAAAACGTCAGAGCAAGGACAAAACTTCATTTTACGTCAGATAATAACAAGGCGTGTACCAAGAAAAATTAATGTTAAAAGCACAGCCATAAGTGGACGTAAAGACAGAGGAATAGAAAAGATGAAGTCTAGGATTCAAGCTGGGCGTTCGTCTAACACAGAATGCAAAACTAAACGAAAGCATGACTTAGGACAGAATATTAAAATGAATGTTCATAACGCGCGCTAAATTCTTATTTTTCCTTTTTTAGTTCATGCCAATTGTATTTCTGTACTAAGTTCATTTCCTTTTGTAATAAACGTTTTTATTCACTCTTGTTCTTGTATAATTTATTTCAATCCTAACATAAAAATAACCATCCCTTTGTCTGTCTCTGTATTCGTTGAGACACTGAAACGGGTATAGATTATAGTATAGCAAAATGTAGTGTCCTACATGAAAGTATACCCCGGAAAATTTTTGTGGACGGGTATACTTTGAACTCCTTAATACGGCTGCATATATTTTATTGTATATCCGAACGCAACACTATTGAGCGTTGTGTAAAGGTATAGATTCCATATACGCTTCGACGAGCACTTCGACAAAGCTACTTCGCGAGTAGTGTAGAGGAGGCAATAGACTTAGAATATACTGGCGTATAGATGACCTGACAGTCATTGTGTGCGTTAGCTAGTGATATACATTCTACTTACAAGGACTATCGAAAAATGATTGTTAAGAAAGCGGTAAAAAGATTAAAAAAATACTTCAGTGCACGAAACTGAATAATATCAAAAATTAACTGAATTTATAACATGCTATTCAAAAATCATTAAAAAATATTCATATAACATGTTCCCGAGAATAAGCAGCACCTTCCTGCATTTTGTTGGATTTTAATTCAAAATGTACTGACTGTACTTAAACAATTTTCCTCAAGAACCAGAGCGGAAAATTGTATTTTGAGCCACGACCATTAGAAAATAATATTTACTGCCATGGACAGTTTCCCTGGAATTTCTTTTTTAACATAATGTTTATCAAATATAAATAGGTAGATACTTAATAAAGCATATACCCAAGTATTTAAATTTCGTACATTTTATAAAATGTATTGCTGGTGAATTAAAAATGGGGACACGGAGTGCATAATGGCTGCTTTATTGTTCATATAAATATAACTTTTAATAATTACAAACTTTTAAATAATTAATAATTAAATACATTATAGAAGTTTATTTTAACATCCCACTTAAATAAATATGAATGTAAACTTAATAATTTAAGTAAGGAAACTTGTAGGAATCAGTTAATAAATAAGATTGTTATGTTTAATGGCCAATAAAAAACTGTATTTAATTTGTTTAAAGTAACCATCTTGAAATGTTTTGCTGGTGAAATAAAAAACGAGACACGGAGGATATAATACTTTATTTTTCTTGGTGTTAGTTCATCACTTCTTCCTTGATCTTGTGATTTCAAAGGTGGAGAGGTATGTCACGATTAACATACGATGAGGCTACTCTCTCTTTCATCTGTCCCTGAAAAATATAAAGTTATTATTAACAATAATAAACTTATTATCATTTTAGCTGCATGAGTTTTAAAAACATAATAATATTAACAGACACAAGACAAATACGCAGGAGATATTAAAGTGCACCAAGTGTCTGAGGATACAGATACTCTCTCTATTCTCTCAATCTCGGTATGATAAGAAAATGTCCATCATGGACTGACTGCGAAAAGTGCGACTTTATCTCGCAGATCTATTGATTCGCGCAGCTGTTACTTAACCACGAGTTCTTCTTCTCTACAACTAACGCTGTAGGCGATGAACCACGCTATCAAGCACTCAACTTTTAGAAGTCTTATTATAAAAATATTATAATTACTGGTACAAATAATATACAAATAGTCCCTTTTAATAAAATTGTTTTTATTCTACTTTTTCTTTTATAATTCTCAAGAAAATATTTTTAAAACCCAATTAACATTAACCATTTTATTTCTAATTATAGAATCCGTAGGGAATCCGTTTGACAAACAGCAAAATAAAACTACATTTTTAGAACGCAAACCGAGCATTTATTTTCATTCCTCTTCTTGTTGTGTGGACAAGTCTACTTATTCATTATGAACACTCAAGATAAATATTGAAATTAATTTTGATATAGTTGTGTTCCCAATCCCTAGCGTACATGTAAAATATTTTGTATAAAAATGCATTTATCAATTCTTGCAAATTATCAACAAGGTGACTTTTTTAAGACTCTCTCTATGCTAGTAATTACTTTGAAGGCTGATTTACACAGGGTCAGCAACAGGCGCCAGTGCTAGCGTCGAGGACTGACCCGCACTGTTTACACGCAGTCAGTGGTCGTGGTACCTTCTCTAGGGTATATGCACGTTATTGAAGTCGATACGCAAAAATAAATTCACGGAAACGGCAGAATTTACAACGATTAAAATATTTGTTGAGAAAATGTTCCGATCTGCTGTTGAAAGAGTTGACGGAAATGTTAGAAGAAGAGATATATAAAAAGAAACGTCTTTGGATATGAAAACGGATAGACGACAGGAAAGAAACTGAAGGCTCTGCTTTGTTGTTAGATCAATTATTATTGAGATTTGAAGATTCTGCGGAATTCAAACCTGCTTTCAGAATAACGCTGAAGAATTTTGACGAATTGTCTTCATCGATAGCATGCTCTATTCAATGACAAGATACATTCATGATAAATGCTTTGCCAGCCAAATAAAAACGCGAAATGTCACTTTTATCGTGTATCGAAACCATCTATTTCACATTTAATATCAGTAGTCAGTTGGGCAATATATGCAGCTTTGAAAATACAAAATAAGGTCAGATAGATATTTGTATTATGTAATAATCTTACTGAATAAAATCATTCTATTATGTTCTATCCTATTCTATAGTAGCTTCGTCGAGAATACTAGCACATTGTCAATGTTTAGGAAACAGAAATCGCGACCACGAGTGACTTTATCGATTTAACGTTGAAAGTTTTGTCCAGCATTGCACAAACCGAAGGTCATAAATGGGAATTTTGCAGAAGCCAAACGGAGTAGCGATAGCAGTCTTCGGAATATCGCCCTCAAAAACAAGAATCTGATGATAAGCTTTTATTAATTCAAACGGTACTAACGATTGTTGCTTCAGAAAAACTGTGAGAGAAGTCATTGATATGGGGCACTGGATATTGGTCCAGTACTGTCCGAGCATTAAGACTGCGATAATGGCCACACAGAAACCATAAGCGGTTTTTATTGAGGACCATCTGAAACGGAGATATCCAAGATCTTTTAGGAGGTCTGGCCATATCGCACCATATTTATTTTTTGGTCAGATGGTTTTTACGAGGTGCCAAACCATGAGGACGGTATGAATCTGGAGGCCCTCAGTAGTTTTAACAAAGTGCAGCGTATTATGCTTCACAACTTTGAGAAGACGAGGAGGGTGCGTAATATCCTGGATATGGTGAAACAAGAACCTGCTCAAAGATTGAGTTGCTACATGCCACGGCTTCCACAATGTCCTGAGCAAAATTACTTAGGGTTCTATCCGACATAAAGCGGTCACGCGTTCAAGTGTTCCGCGTTCGCGTTCAGCGTTTGAGCGTTCAGTTGCTCATGAATTCCGCTGCTGAACGGTCTACGCAGTGCCACTACAGTCACCATGTTTTTGACTATAGTTCTTCATCGGGAGACCAATAATTGATATTGTGGAAATTAGCAGCATCAAAACGGAAATGGAAACATTGGGTGCGTCCAGCAAATATGAATAGAGAACAAGATGGAGAATTTCATAAACTGTTTTTTTAAATGGCTTTTTAATTCATTTTATTTCTCTGGCAATTTCTAACCATGCTTTTGCTACTTTTCCCTCGGTTTTTATAATCGTCATTCATCATATCATATAAAAACATCTTTCTCGTACTAACATAATTAACTTCTCGGTCTCCACCTTCCTTCCGAAAAGCCGAAACAGCAGTGAATGCGCGAACGGAGCGTTCTAGTTGACCAATGCGGTCAGAATACCTGCTGTCTGGGTATGTCTATGTAACATAATACAACACAACAACCGCAGAACGCTTGAATGCGTGAACGCCTTCTGTCTGATAGATCCCTTAATAGCTGCCTTTACAAGACACGTGCTTTCACTCGCGATCGGAATGTGCGTGATTGAAGGCGGGAAAGCTTGCACGCGCAATCGTGATTGATTGGTTTTGTCCATTTTTTTATTTGCGTTGACTCTTTCGTGCGTTATTACTTCTGTATTTTTATTCAGAGAGTAATGGGCGTCGTGTAAAGGCTAACCGCGTGTGATTCAGTACAGGAAACTTCCGCGATCTGGAGTGTATGACAAACACGCAGTTTTGTTAAACGCGCTTTCTGAAGACTAGTGTTCTAAAGAAATGGGCAAAAGAGTT